GAACTATGTGAAACTATGATTAATTGAGACCTGTAATATGAAGAAACTGTGTAAACATTGGACTGGTGCAGTGTAGAGATTGCAACACGAAATTCTTGTTCGTGCTGGCTCGTCGGGCAAGCATGATACATCGTCGGGCGAAGGAAGTTCTCCCCTGATGCATTGGGTGAGTGTGAGGCGAATGGAAAGAGTTAACAACAGAGCCCTTAGTCTTTTGTATGAGAGAGGAGGACTCGCTCCAGCTTCGCCAGGCAAAGCAAAGGCGAGCTAAGCTCGCTGTGTGAAAGAGACAAGAAGGAAATGCATGCTCCAGGATTTTGTATGGGAGAAACTGATTTGCCCCGTCCTCGTCGGGAGAGCTCAGGCGAGCAACCTTCTTCGCCAGGCGAGCCTCAGACAAGGGGTGTCTGGAATAACTTTAACATGTTGTAACTTAAGTTTCAGGACTCCATTTGATGCGCCATTCGAAGCATTAGAAATATAACGCGATGAGTATACTTTGGTGGAATAAAATGAGTCATATAATGTGTTTTCCAGTGTCTATGTTTTTGATGAATAATATTATTTGGTGATTGTTCTATTATGATGTATGTGTATATGATGAATTTTTATTACTATGATGATGACATGTGTAATATGAAGTATGTGATGATATTATGATGATTATATGAATGGTGATGCATTTTGACTAGCAGTGGTCATGTTATTATTGAGATGTTTCGCGTCATGAATTCATGGCATATGATTAGGACTTCGGTCCAGTGATGTTGTTAGGACTTCGGTGCAGTGAATTTTATAGGACGAATAGTCCAATGATGGCCTCAATCCCACATTGTGGATTTGAATGCAATTTTGTGATGTGCTCTAATTCCAAGCGGGAATAGATCCTATTAGTGGGAATCTTTGGAGAAACAATGACGATATCATTAATAAAGTTTTGGTACCACATACATGAGTCTAATGAAGTTGCATTACATTCTTTGTGACATTGCATAATAAGTGATTAAGTGATGCTTTGTGAATATGTGAACTAATGATGTCTTGGTGATGATTGTTGACTGATGATATGGTGATGTTATAAATAAATGATGAACTGAAGGTGTAAGTATAACATGAAGTTTTGATTGTGTGTGATGTCTTGCTATTGTGTTATAACTACTATATCTATTCCTTATGTCTTTTATAATGATTATGATTACTCACTCTTTCTGCTTGGAAATGTTGGCTCTATATGTGGGTAACTTGTAGGTGATCAGGATTAATGCGTTGAAGCTTAGAGGATTAGCTTCAAAGCTTATTATTTTATTTTCGTTGATTTTAGAATGTCTTGTTGTGGTATGTAACATCGGGGTTGGGAACGTTTGTTTTGAAACTATTATGTTTTCTTGCTTATTTTGAGATGATGGGTTACCTTTCATGGTACCTATTTGTTGACTTATGAATCATGAACGATGAAGTATTTTAATAAAGATGTTTTGAGACTATGATTTCGCTGCGATAATCTAAATTTTGATGCGTGGAGGATATCAAAGGAATAGTTATTTTAGATGTTTTCAAAACCCATGTTACGAAGCAGGATGTGTTTTATATGATGCTTTTATGAAGATGTGACACCCTTGTTGGTGATTTCATTTGATTTAATTTCGTAAAATATATGATAATTGTATGAGGGTTTAGAAGGATGTTACAGACACCATGTTCTACACATAATTCTTCAAACATCTTGGATGTGTATTCACCACTTCATCTGTTCTCCGAACTTTGATCTTCTTCTCACTCTGGTTTCCGACAAGTATCTTGAATCTCTTAAAGATTTCAAATACTTTGTCCTTTCTTTTGATCATATAGATCCATAACTTTCGACTAAACTCATCGACAAATGAAATAAAATATCTTCCCACCAATGGTATGTTCTTCGAATGAACCACATACATCTGAATAAACCACTTCGACTATATAGGATGATCTCATTGGAATAGTCGAAACAAATGAATTTATGGATTGCTTTCTGACTAAACATTCTTCATAGAGTTTGTCAGGAATCACAAGACTTGGTATACCATTTACCATTTCTTGAGTAATCAGCTGATTGAGTGACCTGCAATTTAGATGGCCAAACCTCAAATGCCATAACCAACTATCCTTGTGGTCGAAAACTATTTTTAAGCATTGTACCTTTGTCGACCTGATCATAGTCTTAAACATATGATTCTTCGATATTGGAGATTTTAAAACCAAATTGTTTAGGGTGTCGAACAATTTTAAAACTCTATCTTTCATGACAACTGAGAAACCTTTTTCGACCAGTTGTCCAATACTTAACAGGTTGCACTTTATTCCAAGTACATAGAGTACATCTTTGGTCATAGCTTTTCCTTCATTACTCATTCGAAAAACTATGTTGTCAGTACCTTCCGCTTGCAACGAACTATTATTAGAAAACTTTACCTTGCTCTTCTTCGACTCATCGAAATCTTCCAACCACACCTTTTGAGCAATCATGTGATTTGAGCAACCATAGTCGAGGAACCATATTTTGGATTTGACATGGTTATCTGTAACTGCAGCCATAACCACCATATTTTGGATTTGAGCAATCCCTTGTCTTTCATGTACCAATAATGCTTGGCCAAATGATCCCACTTTTTTCACAGTTATAGCAATGCACACCTTTTTTCTCTTCTTTGTCTTTCTGATAGCAATTTCCTTCTCCTCTTTTCGAGGACTCAAAAGCCCTGCCGTCGACCTTATTCTTGTGGAGATTCGATCAAGACTTTTTGCCCCGAGTCTTATCAAATTTGCCTTTGAATTTGTTGAAACCACCATTATTTTTCTACGACTGAGCCTGCAGTGCTTGTATAGTATCTTGAACTCCTTTCCTTTCGACATTCCTAATCTCATGCGCTTCCAACGAACCAACCAAATCTTCCAGTTTTAGGGTTTCAAGTTGGTTGGATTCTTGAATAGCTACGATAACGTGATCAAAGTGAGAGGTCAACGTACACATTACCTTCTCAATTATATCTTATCAGTTAGGGTTTCACCACAAGTCTTCATGAGATGGACGAGTTTCTATACCTTCGACACATACTCTGCAATCTTTTCGTCTTCTCCCATCAATAATAATTCATATTGTCGACGCAAAGTTTGCAACTTGACAACCACGACTTTCTCACCTTCTTCATAGTACTTGACAAGAATATCCCATGCCTCCTTCGCCGATTCAACATGAAAGATCCTGTCGGAGTTCACCACATCGACCGTCGTTTGAATGCAATATGCAGCCTTGCAATTCTTCTTCTTGGCTTCGTTGTGAGCGGTCTTCTGTGTGTCGGCTGCATTTGTAGCCAAGGCAAGAACGCCATTAGTAACCACTTCTAGGATTTCATAAAAGCCAAACAGAGATTGCATTTGTTTTCTTCATCGAATCCAATTCTTGCCGTCAAGAGTTGGAAAAGAATTCAGAATGTCATTAGTACCATTCATCTTCATAGCGATTGATTGACAACAACACACGATCCTGGAAATACAATCCCTGACGTGTGATTCTTGAAAACACGATCAAGAATTTAACGAAGCTCTACATACCAATTTGTTAGTGCGTGAGACACTTTTAGTGAGTGGAGAAAGAGAGAGAATAAGAAAATAAATATTTTTATTATTTAATTGAATTGTACAAATAATGATATAAACTATGAATATTTATATACACCTAACTTATACACTAAGTAGGCTAACAAACCCTAATTGGACTTGCGCTTAGGTTACACAACTTAGATTAGGTGTAATATCTCAACAATTTTCAACTTTGTTTTCCCTTCTTTTTCTCTATTCGAGTTCAAAAAATTTCCTATAAATTGAGGTTAAATTCGAGTTCAACTTTAGACTGCAGATTTCTTAATCAAATTGAAATCTTTCTCCTCTCTCGTCTCTGCTTTATCTCTATATTTTTCTATTTTGTTTCATTTTCAGCCGACTGTTTTGCGCCAAATACATGACTGATATTTGTACCATAATCGATTGGTCTTTGTGTCATCAGAGAATGTATTTCTAGACTGATCACCTACAAAGTAAGTAATAATTATATAGTTGAACTGAACTGTTTTATCCTTGAGGCGTCGTAGTCGATCGTCTACCTTGCACAATATAGAAGAGTGCTGCGAAATATCTTAAAGAGAGTGACTTAGTCTACGACTCGACTCAACAATTTCTTCGCTGACAATTTTTTCAAAACCGTAAAACAACACTTACCGATCACTAGGCTGTGTTGTACACTATAGTTTTTTAAGTGGTTGAGTGAACAAATTTTTGTAGTTGGTAGCTTTGCTAAATAGGATATGATTGTATTTCATAAATTTGTCTTTTGAACTGTGCAGACTGAACTTTAGCTCTAAGATGGCTGTTTGGTATCATCCAATGTTATGATTTGGCGTGAGCATTGTCCAAACTTATGTTAGAGATGTAATAAAGCTATTGATGAGCCTTAATCATCCCTAAGTTTTAGGAACACAGACCCCAATCCATTCAGCCACTCGTTGAAAACAGAAGACAATATTCAAACAATCGTCATCTCTAGCATTGCATGTTGAATATTTTGAAACTGTAGTCCACTGACATAGTATCTAAAAAGAAAAGTCCAAGTTGCCAATGATAAAAATGAAGAAAGTATCTTTGATTTAAGAACAAAAAAAAAAAAAAGGCATGTCCTTAATTTGATCTTGATTCCCGTCTTCCACTTGTTCCCCACTTTCCTGATTCATATATTGAATTCCCTAAGAACAAGTATCTTTATCTTCTGTCCTTTTACAAGATATATTCCTCACCAACAGGCTACACCAAATACTTTCCCTCCTACTTATAACCTTCTACCTTGGTTATTGTTTTCTCATCATACAATTATAGCTCCACTTTTGTAAACTAAGCTGTTCTTGTTGTTGCTGAAATGGGATCATCTTGGACTCCAAGGCAAAACAAACAGTTTGAAAGAGCTTTGGCTGTATATGACAGAGAAACTCCAGATAGGTGGCAGAATGTTGCCAACATGGTTGGAAAATCAATTGAAGATGTTAAAAGACATTATGAGATCCTCAAAGAAGATGTTAGGCGCATTGAACATGGTCAAGTTGCATTCCCTTACAGAACAAACAACAACTAACACAAAGGTATAATTTCACACATCCATTTCATATCGTTTTTTTAATGAAAAAAAAAATCATTTATTGAAAAAATATTTATACCAACGAACAATAAACTGTGCCGCTATTTTTTTAAAAAATAAATTCTTGTGTGATATATGAACCACTGATTCATTCTCTCTTTCATTGGCAGGTTCTTAATTCAGAATTCAACAAAATTGAAGACTCGTCATCGACAGTGAATTAATAAGTAAAATAAAAAGAAAAGTAGTATGAACAGCAGTGAAGAGAAAAAAAGGCCAACTGCAATGCAAGCTTCTAATTATGTCCATGTATTTATTTGAGTAAACAAAATGTTCATGTATTTACAATTTTTTTGTTGTTGAAGCAATGTATTTACTAATTAATCTTGTGTGTAAACCACTATTAATCTATCTATGATTCATGACCAAATATTTATTTGTCTATCTACAACTTCCTTTTTCTTTAGCTTTCTAATACTCCTATTATAGAAAGTTAAGAATATACATGACTACAAAAGCTAATAATCAAGACATACATCACTACAAAAGCTACTTCCATTATAGAAAGTTAATTACGGTTTAAATAACAGCATATTATTTTAGGTACAAAATAACGGTATTTTTTCTTTTTTGGATGATAACAAAACGGTATTATTATTTCTTCAACGATATATTCTTGCACCATAACCTTTATAAATCTTACGCTAATTCTGCGTCATGCTACTCACTTCACCTCTATTTTAAAATCTCAGTTTTACATACATAATATTATTAAGATTACTCAAATTATATATGACTGACTGACTCATTTAATATCTAAATATCTAACCATTTCGTCAAATTTTATAAAAACAATAGTAATTATGTACCACCTCTATCCTAAATATACATCATTTTCTAACCAAAAAAAAATGGATATATATATATATATATATATATATATATATATATATATATATATATATATATATATATATATATATATATATATATATATATATATATATATATATATATATGGAAAAAAACAAAACATAGAGAAAATAGAAGAATATAACATAATATAAGGATATAACGTAAAAATTTTAAAACTGCAGAAAAAATCATGATTATTCTCCAAAAACAGACTAATATATTTAATAACTAATAACGAACTTGAATTTTATATATAATTTTGGACTCTATAAACTTTAAAGAAATTTAATTTTATATATATATATATATATATATATATATATATATATATATATATATATATATATATATATATATATATATATATATATATATTAAAACTTCACTTATCTTTATATAAAAAAGTTTCATTTTTTTAATAACACTCCTTATTAATTATACTAATTTATTTTTGAAAATAAAAAGTCAAAATTGATCAATTTCAGATATCTATTAAAAATCTTAAGACATTAACTGTATGAGTAATTTCTTTTATAAATTTTTCAATTTTTAATAAATATAAAATTTAATCATTCATATTTGAATACCAACCATCTCCTTTTGTCTTCCATTTAATCCATATTAAGATCTACTTACACTTTCTGACCAAATTTAACGATAACTCTTATACTAATTATTAAAACAACAATTAATATTAAAAATTGAAAATAAAAAAAAAAAGTAAAAAATGATAAATATAATTGATTTTATTAATGCAGTTCGGTCAAACCTATTATACGGATTATAGAGCAAATATTGTTCTTTACTATTTACACTAGTTCAGTTTTTGTTTTTTTTGCTATTCGAAATTAGTTATTTCCTCTATTTTTTTTTATAAAAAAAATTTGACTTTTTAGATTTATTGAATAAATAATATATTTAGACTATATATAAATTAGATACATCAATTATTAAATTAATCTAAAAAATTAAAATTTTCTTATAAAAAAGAATGGAGAGAGTATGTTTTTTCTCTCGTCCTAAAAGATTTATATTAAAAGATTGAAATCAATTTTATTTTTTAAAATGGTATTATTACAAAAACACCTTTAACCTATTTTTTGAAAGAAGCTTGTAGAAATGAACAGAATAATAATAAAATAGCCTAAATAATGTTGTTTTGTTTATTCATAAATTTTCTCCATTAGGTAAATGAAACGAATGGCTTAACTGAATTGTTCTAAATTCGAGGATAAAACCATATGATAGTGTAATGTTGTTATTAGAGCGAATGGAATTTGGAACCAAAAAAGTGATACTATGGTGCGAAGGAGCACCTTATCTAAATTAAGAAAATATGCGACATAGATACGAGTCAATGAGAGTAGTACATTAAAAGTTTGTTCTGAAAGTGAAACAAGTGGTTAAAATAAAATAAAAGTAAGGAATTCAAATCTTATATGGTCGTGATGGCTAGATACACCTTGTTTCTTCTAGCATATTTCGTTCTTAAGTAGAGACAAGACCAACCGATCAATACAATTTTTCAATGTTTGATGTGTTCCATTTGCTAAAAAAAATAAAGAATTTAACAATTTAGTTTTAGTTGTCACACGGTTGATTTAAAAAATAGGAAATAATATATTAAAAGTCTTTTAAATTATTTTATTGTAATAAAATAATTTTTTAAGTTTTTTTTATTATAAATTAATTCTTTAAAATAACTTACGTGCACAGTTACCCTTTTTTAATAGAGAAAATGTATTAACTATAGACATAATTATTTTAAATGGTATGAAAATGATGAAGTACAATAAAAAATACAATTATTAATATTTTTAAATATTTAAAATGTGAGAAAAAGTGAGATAGAAATCACCCGTAAGGACCAAGTTTTACAAAAAAAAAAACTTAAATAACCTCCTTTATTAATATTTACAATATAAATATATTTTTTTTAATAAAAGTTATTAAAATACGACAATACCTTTTTTTCTGTTAAAAATACTCTCTCTCTCTCTAAAGAAGCTACAGTTGAAGACACCTCTAGACAAGAGTTGGAAGAGGTACTAAAAATTATCCGGAAAAGTGATTATAAAATTGTTGAACAGCTGGGGTTGACTCCATCCAAAATCTCCATGTTGTTCCTGCTATTGTGTTATGAAGCCCATGCATAAGTTTTAGTGAAATTTTTGAAGATCGCTCATGTAACGCCCCATTTTATTTAATATTATATTATATTAATATTTTCGAATTACCGTTTGACGTTTATTTTTGCGACGAGAATATTTAAATTAACCGTTATATCTGTTAATATATTCGGCGATATTTTATTCGGACCAGTAATTATTTTATTCGGTCCGGTATTTATTTTGAGGGACCGGTAATCATTTTATTCGGACCGATAATTATTTTATTCGGTCCGGTATTTATTTTGAGTGACCGGTAATTATTTTATTCGGTCTGGTATTTATTTTGAGGGACCGATAATTATTTTGTTCGGTCCGATTTTTATTCCGCTCGGTTCGGTAAAATATTATTCGGACCCATATTTAATTATTTGGAGTTATTTTGATTAAGTGACCTTTTGAATTATATCTTGGGTTAGTAAGACCAGTGGAGGGTAGTATGGTATTTTCATGTTGTCTTAAGACCAAAAATCCAAACAAAGGCATTAGTTGTTGTTTTATGAGAGATAGAAATATCATAACATAAAAACACACTTAGAGGCTTAGAGAGAACTAGAGAAAGTCTTGGAGAAAGAGAAGAACAAGAACACAAAGCTTGAGTTTTGGGTTGGTTGGAACATCAAGAATCATTCAAACATCTAAGGTAAGGGGTTTGATTTTCCAATGCTTATAGTTAGGGTTTGATTTGATATATTTTGATTTGGGATAAAATTAATGTTAGGGTTCTTGAGATTTGTTGAGATAAATTAGGAGAGTTAATTTAGGTGTTAGTGTTGTGGGATTATTGTTATGTTAATAGAAATTAAATTAGAAAAACTAAATTATATTAATTAAGTTTAATTTATAAAATAAAGTGGACTAGGAGTATAAAAGAATTTAGTTTTGTTTATAAAAGAAAGTATGCATGGCAGTATAGTTAAGTTTATAAAAGAAAGTATGCATAGCAGAATAGTTAAGTTTATAAAAGAAAGTATGCATAGCAGTATAGTTAAGCTTACCGAAAGAATGCTGTATAATTTAATCTAGTAGCAGTGTTAAACTTATAGTATGGAATATCAAGTTTAGAAACCAGTAGCAGTGTTAAACTTATGGTATGGAATATCAAGTTTAGAAAACTAATAGTAGTGTATTTATTAAATAGAGTTTAGAACTAAGTAATAGCAGTGAAGTTATAACAATAGCAGTATAGAAGGAAAAAAAAGAAACATAAAGCTAGCAGTATTTCATTAAAGTAAGTTTAGAAAATTCTTTAATTTATGTTTTGTTTCTTTTATTTTCTTAAATTAATATGTTAAGTATTTACATTAATTAAATATAAATATGACATAAGTTAGCCGATTTAATTTGGAATTCGATTATGTTCTGATTTCCCAATTTCGGCAATTTCGGCGACGGAGCAAGTTGCTCCGAATTTAACGAAAATTGACATGTTAGCTAATTTTGATGTATAGAACGTTGTGGTGAGGTTAGTTTTTCGAGATTACGAGTTTTTAATGGAGCAACCCGAAATAAGTCAATTTACGGTTAAGTTGAACCGGGTTGCGTTTTAGTCGGTTTAAGTCGCGTATGGACAATCTGATTGCAACGTTAATGATTATAATTGATGCCGATTATTATGAATGACTTCCGCGAAGACTATTGATGTTTGACTATTTTTCTGTGTTTGAAATTTAGTGAATTATTTGATAATGATGTGGTGTGATTAAATATGATGTTTGCGACGGTTTATTTATGATGAATACTTGATGATATGCGATGCAATGATATGTTTATCTTGATGTGGATGAATATGGCGACGTGGGTTTTATACCAAAATTTGATGTGCGATGTTGATGTTTTGTTGTGTCGTGTTTGTGATGTCGTGTTGTCGAGTCACATACATTGCATTGACGACGAGGGCTTTTATGCCAAGCGACGAGGGCTTTTATGCCAAAACGATGATGGGCTTTTATGCCGAATGTCCCTAATTATGGACAAAGCGACGAGTACCACATGCATAACATAGTCGTGTCTCATGGAGTCTGTTATGTTTATTTTTGAGTCTTTTGGCGTTGCGTTTTATTTGATGACTTATAATAAATTGTGATGTTATATGATACTTTGTTTGTGATGATTTTTGTGTTGAACATAAAGTGAATATA